GGCACACTAGTGTGCCGCGGAACATTGGTTGAAAAGCACTGAATTAAGCACCACATTGTTTTTGGTGGGAGTCTTTAATTAGGGTAAACTGGTTGTAAATGTCAGGGACATTTAGCGCAGTGTCTTTCCACCAGGGGGCGTCACAACTTTGGGAGAAAATATAAAAATTAGTCTAATAAATTTTTTATTAGAATCAAAACCATTTTTTACGACAAAGTATTGAGCCTCATTAAGAAAACAAAACAAAATAAAATGATGAGATAAAGTAAAATTTACGAGGATAAAGTCATATTATGGGAATAAAGTCATAATATTAAAACTTTATTCTCGTACAAGTTTATTCTTGTACCATTATGACTATATCTTGCATTTTAATTTATTTTTTATTATTTTTTCTTAATATGGCTCTAATACTCCACTGTACTTTTTCAATCATTATAATATTTAAGGTAACATAACTTATTTAAATGTTATTTTCCATGTTAATTTTCTGGTTGGCTGAGAGTCAAATTTATCAAGCTGCTTTGCTCCTTAAAGTTAGCTTAGCAATCGCAAAATGGAAACATTTCTGTCAAGAAATAAGACAGTGGAGGACACTGCTGCACAAAACTCTATGAACTGAAATCAGAGGGTATGAGTTGGCATTTAAGTATAAAAAAAATGAAAGTGATAAAAAAAACATTCTGAAAGTTGATGTTTGTTTGCATATTTTGTAGCATTGTCTGTGGGGTTCCCCAGCCAGAAGCTAATGCTGGTTGGAGGCCATGATGTGGAAAAGTTTGTGCACCCCTGCACCCGGATCTCAGCAGGTGGTAGTTTTCCTTCGTGGTAGTTTTTCTCTCCGTCGTTTTTTTAGCCACCTGTGAGATGTGCGGGATGATCGGGGTCCGGGACGCTTTCTACAGTAAAACCAAGCGCTTCTGCAGCGTCTCCTGCTCCAGGAGCTTCTCCTCCAACTCCAAGAAGGCCAGCATCCTGGCCAGACTGCAGGTGAGCCCAACCCAGTCTGATCAGAACCTCCCAGAACCCGAGAAGGTTCTGATCTGCTTCCCGTCTGTTTGAAAGGGGAAGCCACCCACCAAGAAGGCCAAAGTTCTGCAGAAACAGCCTTTGATGACCAAACTGGCTGTGTATGCCCAGCACCAGTCCAGCCAGCAGGGCGGCGCCAGAAAGAGCGGTGGGTAGCAACAGAGCCTTCCTCACTCATCATCATCATAAACATGGCGGCTTTTTAACGCTGGCGGTGTGTCTTGCAGTCTCTGTGGACATGTTTGACTGGGGGCGTTACCTGGGAGACGGAGAAGTGACGGGAGCGCCGGTCAGCTGCTTCAAACACGTGAGTTCATCTCCTCAGCTCCATCTTGGTTTCCATGTGTCAAACTCAAGGTCTGGGGCCCAAATGTGGCCCGCTGTAGCTTTTTATGTGGCCCTCATGACTCCAGATGCTAAATGAGATCAATCTGTCCCTCCAGTTTTCTGAGATTCCACAATTGTGCACATTCACAGAAAGTCAACAGATCCCAATTTTTGTATTATTTTGCCCCCGAAGTTCTTTGGACTTCTCCGTCTGTCCAGGTTCTGATGGGGAAGTCATGGGGCAGCGTCAGTGAAGGAGTCCGGGTTGAGGTCCCGAACACCGACAGCGGTCTGCCCATGAAGGTCTACTGGATCGCCAGCATCATCAAGCTAGCCGGTTAGCGCCCAGAGCTCAGCTGATGCATCCAAACCTTCGTCTGGGGAGGTTCTAGTTTAAAGGACGGGTTCTGGTTCCTCCTGCAGGTTTTAAGGCCCTGCTGCGCTACGAGGGCTTCGACAGCGACTCCACCCGGGACTTCTGGCTGAACCTGTGCGTGCCGGACATCCACCCGGTGGGCTGGTGCGCGGCTGGAGGGAAACCGCTGGTTCCTCCTCAGAGTGAGTAAACGATTCCGACGGACCCGATCCTGGGCGGTTTTCTGCTGCAGACCGACCCGTTTGGTTTGATTTCTGATTGGCTGATGTTTTTCTGTCTGCAGCCATCCTGCACAGGTTCGCCAACTGGAAGACCTTCCTCATTAAGAGACTGACCGGGTCCAAAACTCTGCCACCAGACTTCTCATCGAAGGTGACGCATGAATCAGAGGCTTTCAGTTTGGTTCTGCTCATTCAGCTTCCATCATTATGGAGATTATTATTTTTTTCAGGATTAAACTATCGATTTTGCACAGATTAAACCTGAAAACTGCGATAGCTGCATCTGAACATCAGCAAAGTTATACATGAGCCCAATTGGATTCAATAATAAGGAATACAATTTTGTTTTTTATCGTGCTGAGATTACAGGTATGAAGCATAAATGTTGGTAAATAAAAAGAAATATTGTTCCATAACTGATTGAAATGTCCGGAAAGTTGTTGAATTTTGATGCGCTGGATTTGTATGAATCCTGAAGAAGTAAATTTAATGCAGAGACGACTCGGAGGCCCTGAAAACACCACAAACTTGTTAAAACGCTCAAACCTGATCTGAAAACATGCAAAGCGTATTGAGGAGCAAAATTAAATCGATTGTTGATTTTTGTGTTTCTATCATAAGAAGCATTTTGAACTGCCTTATTGATGAAATGTGCTGTACAAACAAATTTGATTGATTGATCTGAGACAGTCTGGGGGAAGAAGCCGCTGCTTGACGTTGTCTTCCTCCTCTTTCTCCTCCTCTTCCTCCTCCAGGTGCAGGAGAGCATGCAGTTCCCCTTCAAGAAGCAGATGAGGGTGGAGGTGGTGGATAAGACCCACCTGTGTCGGACTCGGGTGGCTCTGGTGGAGCAGGTGAGCGTCTGCCCGGTCGGACGGTTCCAGCGTTTCCGTCTCCATGACGACCGTGTCGTTGCAGGTGATCGGTGGGCGGCTGCGGCTCGTCTACGAGGAATGCGACGACGGGACGGACGACTTCTGGTGCCACATGTACAGCCCGCTGATCCACAGCATCGGCTGGTCCCGCTCCATCGGACACCGCTTCAAACGATCAGGTGGGCGTGGCTTAAGTCTGGCGGTGCGGAGGAAGAAGGGACAGACGGACGGAGGGTGATTCTGTTTTTCTGTTTCCAGATGGGATGAGGAAGCTGGATGGACAGACGGACGCTCCTGGACAGCTGTTTGCCAAGGTGAGCCTCAGCTGGGCTCACAGTTCATCTTTAAAATCTGTTTTTCATGCATTTTAAACTTGTTTAGATGTCAAATTTATTGATTGTAAAATCGATTTTAACCATATTTTACATCTGCAGCCTTTTCAAGTTGTTCTCTTATTAAGCTGAAAGTTGCTAGAAAGTATTTTAAAACTAATTCTGACATTTTCTGGATTTTTTTTTCACTAATTGACCTGATTTTAATTGGGCTTGAAATGATTAATGGTGATTAATTGTTTCAAACCAAAGAATTAAAATTTTATTATTTATAAAAAGAATTGAATTATGTATCTGCATTTCTAATATTGTATAAAATGCTTAAGTAGTTAATTGAAAAATCAGAATGTGCCAATTCTTTTGCCCAATTAATCGATTAATCATAGGAATAATTGCTAAGATAATCATTAGTTTATTCCTCGTTTTGATCATGGTCATTACATCAGACTATTCCATCTTCTGACCACCAGGCGGCAGTTTAACACCTGTAAACCTCAGAGCGATGTCCTCTGTCCCCCAGGTGAAGGAGGTGGACCAGACCGGACTCTGGTTCCAGGACGGGATGAAGCTGGAGGCCATCGACCCGCTGAACCTGTCTGCCATCTGCGTGGCCACAGTGAGGAAGGTGAGGAGGAGGAGGAGTCCGTCCTGCTCAGACGGCCGACTCAAACTTCTCCGCCTGACCTGCAGCCTCCGTCGCCTCCCGCAGGTTCTGGCAGACGGATACCTGATGATCGGCATCGACGGCTCGGAAGCAGCCGACGGCTCCGACTGGTTCTGTTATCACTCCACGTCTCCGTCCATCTTCCCCGCTGGGTTCTGTGAGATCAATAACATCGAGCTGACGCCCCCCAGAGGTACGTCCGGCTTCCTGCAGCTGCAGGTTTAAAGAAATGCATAAACATCCTGTTAAATCGGATGGCTTCTAAAAACTTGGAAATAACAGAAACAAAGGAATACACTCCAAAAACACAAAATCTTACCAAGCAATTTGTTTAGTTATACTGCAAATATCTCAGTACACTTGAAAAGATAGAAAACTAACTTACAAGTAACTTTTCAGCAAGCTCAATAATTTCTTAATATTGGCAGATTATTCCACTTATATTTTTTCCCCATTTCATAAAGTTAAATAATCTGCAAGTGGAACCAAAACTTTTTCATGAATATTAAAATAATATTCATGAAAAAGTTTTTTGACTCTTTTGCTGAAAAGATACTTGTAAGTTAGTTTTGTCTTATTTCCTGTTTACACTGTAAACTAAACAAAAATACTCGGCGAGATTTTGTGTTTTTGCAGCGTATTGTTTTGGACGCTGTTCCCAATAAACAAAGTGTTTGAAGAAATCAGAAGATTTTTTTTTTTTTTTTCAAATACTTGATAAAATTTCTGATTGGAAAAGTTGGAACAAAAAGCTTCTGTACGTCCAGGAAAGAACATTAATATTGGGAAGGAAATGAGAAGTGGGAAGTTCTTGGAAAAGTTGTGAATTAAAAACCTCTTCAGATGGAGATGAGCAGATTTGGAAAGTTTTGGAATATCCTGGAAGCGTGGAGGGATGACCCTCCGCCTGTTTCTCCTCCTCAGGCTACGCCGGTCTTCCCTTCAGGTGGTTCGAGTATCTGAAGGAGAGCAAGTCAGTGGCCGCTCCGGTCAACCTCTTCAACAAGGTCAGACCAAAAACAGATGGATTCTGAACTACTGAAGCGATTAATTGTGATTAATCAATTGTTAAAATAACATCAACTAAAGTAGGAGTCAAATATTCGTTGACTGGAGTATAAAGACTATGACTGAGTTTTTCACAGTATATTTTAAGCTGCAAATGCATTTTTTCCTAAAATTGATAAAGTAATTCTGTCATTACACCTTAGCCAATAAAATGTTATTTAAAAAATGATTTATTTGATTCTAATGTATTTTCAATGTTGTACATAATAGGCGTAAGTGGTTAACTGAGTAATCTGCAGTGTGCTAAGTTTGTATCTTATTACATCTTACTACAGTGAAATAATCTGGCAGTGGAATTAGAACTTTTTCATTAATATCGAGGAGTTGTCTTAAAACAAGCTGAAAAATTACTTTTAAGCTAGTTTTCTGTTTATATTGTACCAAGATATTTGCACAAGAACACAGATAAAACTTTGTTTTTAACTTATTTTTTGCCTGGCTCCTGAAAAGTGGCTCCACACCACGATCCTCCTTCCACTAAACTTTACCCATTGACTAATTTCTGATTTTGAAGCACATTACCACTATTGTTTGGACATGGAACAGATTATTTTAATTTTGTGGTTAAAGTTTGGCAGCAGAATGGACCCTTAGAACCACAGGAACCCAGAAGAACCCGTCAGGAACGGTGGAGTTGCCATGACGACTCGTCTACCAACCAGGCTGAGCGTTTAAACTCCCCTCTCTTCGCTCCAACAGGAAGTCCCGAACCACGGTTTCCGTCCTGGGATGAAGCTGGAGGCCGTGGACCTCATGGAGCCGCGGCTCGTCTGCGTCGCCACGGTGACCAGGATCGTCCACCGGCTGCTGCGGATCCACTTCGACGGCTGGGAAGACGAGTACGACCAGTGGGTGGACTGCGAGTCTCCGGACCTGTACCCGGTGGGCTGGTGCCAACTGACTGGGTACCAGCTGCAGCCGCCAGCTGTTACCGCGGGTAACCCTCACCTGGTGGGGGGGCTGAGGCAACATGCTAACCCAACATGCTAACCCAACATGCTAACCCAGGCGTTTGTTGGCTTCAGGGTCCAGAGATCTGCAGTCTGCTGGATCCAAACAGAGGAGGAAGTCCCAGCAGTACCGAGGACAGAAGAAAAGTTAAGAATCGATTTTTAATCCAACAGATGGAAGTTTTACAGATTTGTTTCTCTAAACTCAAGTCTATCACCATAACAAATTTTGCTGGATGATTACTTATTGCGATAAACAATAATATTGTTGTTTTGAGCCCATTTTCAACTAATATGATGCAAGAACACATTCTCAAAGATCAATAAACTTTAAATTGTAATGAACATTTAACGCTGGAACTGGAAAACATTTTAAATATCCAAATTAAATAAACAGAACAACAGAAACAACAAATAAAATTAATTATGAGATCTATGTAAATAAAATTGTCCGTCAAATAATGGTTTAGTTGAGACCAAAGAACCAGACTGAAGACTTTTTATCATACAGTTCCTGGTTTAGAGAAAGAATAGAGAAAAACGATAAATCATGAAAATTTTGTTTGAATTTATTATGCAATGAATTGATTTATTGTGTCAGAGCAGCGTTCTGTTTCTGGAAGTCATAATGGATGGAGCCGTTTATGTGTCGACTTTGAGGCAGAACAAAGGGAGCTGACAGTATCGTCACAAGATCAAAAGAAGATGAAAAGGAAAGCAAAGCTAACGGCCTTTAGCAGAGCATTTCCTGAAACTTCTGTAGAGAAGTTTGTTTTCATGTGAAGTCAGAGCCATGATTAGGATGCGACGCGCTATAAGTTCATAAAAACAATAATTTTCAGACATTTTTTACGTCCGGCTTCTTCTGGTGCAGAATTATGACGCATGTTCGCATCAATGACATAAAAGATGGATAAAATGACCGAAACGTTTTAAAAATAATCTTATACAGATCCAATTTAGTTCCAAATATGGAAGTAGCGCAAGTTCTGTTTGTTTTTTGTTTTGGTTGAAAAAAATCGGATTTGTGTCGCCTCTGCCTGCTGTTTGAACAGATAAATCTAAAAATGTTTATCCGTCTCCCAGAGAGGAAGTTACCCGTTGCTAAGCGCCCCGTCAGCCTCTCCGGCTCCATGGTAACGGGAGTTCCCAGGAACCTATCAGGAGACGAGAACGAGACGCCGCCTGACTACCCGTCGCCGCCTCCTCCGGCCTCGGCCGCCCAGCCGCCGTCCGCCGAACCCGACGCGGAGGGCGGGGCAGGTAAGACAGTTTAAACCAGCCAATGAGATGCTTTGGTGCTCCAGCTGCTCAGTCAGTGGTTATTCTGATGGTCAGCGAGTTTCATTTTAGAGTAACTGGACTTGACTGATGGTAACTTTGTGTCTTCAGGTCTGCAGATGGAGATTCACAATAACACAGGAGGAACGAATTCCTCATTCCAGCGAGTGGCGCTGGAAACCAACGGGTCGTCCCGAGATTTCCTGGCCAACAAAGATCAGTAAACTTTGCTTCTTCACCACCGAACCATTTACTGTGATGAACTATTAATTGCCGCCCGCTTCACCTCATTGGTTTCCTTCCACAAACCCACAAACGGCCTGAAAAGGAAGAAAATTTAAGATGATCGACGTGATGCGTTCGGGTGCTGTCAGGACAATGCGGCTCTCATGAAGTGTTTAAAGTTTGGAAGTTTTCTCCTTATTTAAAACGTTTTTTTTGCCTTTGTCTCCAACAGGAGAGAAAATTTGAAGGGTATCCTGGAAATTACATCTTACTTTCCATAACTTTAAATTTTGATGACTCAATTTACTTTTTTGTTACCTGATATTTCCCTAATACCTACAAGGACAGGTATTGGGTCATATGAGGCGACTTTTTAACCTGGTAGGAAGAGGAGAGCTCAATTATAATAGGTACTCTGACTGAAAGAGACTTTATAATACTGATGAGTTTCCAGTAGCCATTAGCTCATTTTGTATTTGCAAAACTAAGCTGTGAGAAGGTATGATGTAAGTTTTAGAAAATAACAGAAAGATAACCTCCACATTTCAGAAATGTGCCCCAAAAGTCATGGGAACGTTGCATCTACATTACAGGAAGGAAACCACTAAGGTTCAGAAGGTAATATTTAAGTTACAGAAAAGTAGCCTTGAAGTTACAAAGTAACTTTTAAATTAGAAGTAGGTAACCTCAAAGTCACAGGAAGGTAACTTCTAAAGTGAAAGAAGCTAACTTTCAAGTTAGCTTCAGAGGGGAACTTCTTAGTTACATTAATGCAACATCTAAGGTCCTGATCAATAGCCTCAAAGGTTCAGAAAGTAACATTTAAGTTACAGGAAAGTAACTTAAATTAGAGGAATGTGACCTCTAAGGTTCAAGAAGGTAATTTAAGGTTTAGGAAGGTAACTTCTAAGTTACAGAAAAGTAGCCTTGAAGTTGCAGGAAGGTAACCTCTAAGGTTCAGGAAAGTAGGATTGAAGTTACAAAGTAACTTTAAAATTAGAAGTAGGTAACCTCCAAGTTACAGGAAGGTAACCTGTAAGGTTCAAGAAGCTAACTTTTAAGTTATCAGAGGGGAACTTCTTAGTTACATTAATGTAACCTCTAAGGTACTGAACGATAGCCTCTAAGGTTCAAAAAGTTAAGTTACAGGAAAGTAACTTAAATTAGAGGAAGGTCGTTTTATAATACGTTTTATAAGATTCTTTTGTCTTTAAATTTCTAAAACAAAAGTGAAAATTTAATGAAATATACAAAAAAAAATAGAAGGAAATGTTGACATAAAGCAAATGTATCTTTAAAGTTGGATTTTGAACCTTAAAAATATCCAAAATCTCCTGAAATTCTTCTGATACCTCAGAAACCAGAATTTAGATAAGCTGCAGAACAAAAAGGTTTAATTTGATTAAACAGATTTTAACTAAATATATTTGATTTAAAGAAGAAATACTTTATTCTAACAGTTTAACAAATTAACATTTTATTACCTCTTCGGTCTGTGTGGCGTCCATGATATAAAACAATATAAATGTAAAGTTTGATGTGTTTTTGATGGTCAGTAAAGGAAGTTTTTCTGTTTTCATTCATGCAGAAAATGAACTCAAAGTTCAAAAGTTTAATTCTGCGTCTGTAACGTTAAACGTCGCATTTTCTAGAAGAAAATAAATCTATTGCATTTCATGAAGCTCTGAAGGTTTTATAGACTGAATTAAACTGATTTTATGAGACATTTATTTTTACATTCTAGTAAAAAATGTCAGAATTAGAGCCTAAAATTTAAATTAAATGTAAAACTGGAAGCCAGTTTCTCCAAAGTAAAACTTACATTTCTTTTGGTCAGTATTATTTTTATGGGTTTTTTTTTTTTTTTTGGTCAAAGAAAAAAAAAAGAGAAATAAAAAGAATGAAGGGAACTGGATGTATTCATGATTCTAGTTTACATTTACTCATTTTTATTTAGTAAATCCAAATTTTATGGAAGCTTTTAACTGCCATAACCTTGGAAAAATTCAGGAGCGGCTTCTTGTTAAAATTAGTTTTACAAGAAAACGTGTTTTCTATCTCCTTGTAACGGACAAATTTTGCTTCTCTTAATGAGAAACTTGTTTTTTCATTTTGTTATAAGAAACATTCTCATTTTAACAAGATGTGTTTTATTTCTAGCTATAGCAAAAATAACTAGAAATAAAAGTTTCTCATTTTAACGATATAAACATATCTTCCTCTGACAGATTACGACTCGGTATATTTTGTTAAGTCATGTAAATCTCATAACAAAATTTTAAAATTTTGCTTCTTCTAAATTTATTTCCAAGTTCTGGCAGTTAAACTCTTCCGTAAAATTTACATTTTTAAAAGAAGTGAGTGACGTTTTTTATATTTGCTCATAATGAATGTCTGAATCTTCTTTTCCTGGGAGAAAAAGGCTTCCTCTCATCTCATCGATTGTCTGTCGGTAAACCCGGGCCCGGCTCCCAGTTTATCGTGAAGAACCGGAACCAGTGCCAAATGGTTTCTGTTGTGAGAAAACAATCATGTGTCCTGGTGCTTTATGTGGAGGATTTGAAGCTCTTTCTGGGAGGATTTCTACGCCCTCTGCTTGTGTTTTTATAAATATGTCGGATTTTCTAAGAGCAGAACATGCTGAAGGTCTTCCTCGTCACTTTCTGACGCCGGCGTGTCGGACTGAACCAGTTTCTCATCGAGCAGAGTTCGATCCCACAGGAAGTGAATCAGAATGACCTCAGAGGCTCAGAACTTATCACACTGCAAAAACACCAAATCTTACCAAGTAGTTTGGTTTAGTTTCTACTGCAATTATCTGAGCACATTTTAAATGAGACAAAACTAACTTATAAGTAACTTTTCAGCAAGATATGAGTGTTTTTAGTAAATAATTAATATTGATTAAAGAGTACTAATTTTACTAATTAGAATGTTATCAGTGAAATAATCTGTCAGTGGAACTAGTACTTTCTCTTCCATATTAATGAATAATTGACTTAAAACAAGCTCATATCTTGGTGAAAAGTTGGTTATAAGTTACTTTTCTCTTATTTCAAGTGAAATAAAATATTTGCACTAAAACTAGACCTAAAACATTGGGTAAGATTTTGTCTTTTTGCAGTTCAGGTGATAAATCCAGAACAATTTGGTCTAGTTTTGGACTGATTTACTCGTGTTACCTAAAAATGTTGAGTATTTATTTCAGACACTTGGAAATCTTTCTGATTTCACTTATTATAAATATAAAAACTGCAGTCTGAACAGTAGATGAGTCCGTTTACAGTATAGCTAAAAAAGTGAAGAGGCCATGAGTCGTTTCTCCTGTGGGACATCCTGGTTGTCCAGCAGCCCTCTGCGGGTCGACCTCTGCTCTTTATGCTGTTAAATGTGAAAATAAAGCTGAAGATCTTCAGAAAAGAATCATTTTTAGAAGAATCTGTTGATGTTTGTGGATTGTTGTGAACTTTTCTTGACTCCCCATCAGTTCGAAGGTTTGAAGATGACAAAGATCTGGATCAGCTTGCCGTTACTGTCTGACTACAGTCGTGTGTTGATGTTCTGATAAAGGTTTTTATACATTGTGCAATTTTTTGGCAGCATGATTGTGAAGAAATATTTCATCTAGATGTGAAATTAATGACTTTTTATGCAATAAAAAGAAAAATCTCAAGAGTCTCTGCTAGAAAATATATTCATTCATGCATGAATAATGAGAACTGGCAGAATGGGATTTTGTTTTACTAAATATTCAAATTTTAGAGTTGGAATTTTCTACCAATATGGATCTAGGATGCGTCCTGTCCGGTTCTGGTCGGACCAGAGAAATCTGACATGCAGAATCTGGTTCCACCTCATTCCTCTCAGTAGAACAGCTGCTCGTTAGTTTCTCCTCATCCTCTCTCAATAAATCATTGGAGCTCCTTAACATGCCTTCTGGACTAGAAATGGATCCTAACACAGTGATTTATTACCGGATCAGAAGAGATGATACAGAGTCAAAACCAAACTGGGCGTCTCCTGGTCTCATGTCCAATCCACTGACCTCGGCCCATGCAGAACAGATTTTATGTCTCGAGTTGGGGAATAAAACTTCACAGACTAGGGAGTCCAAAGTCCGGGCCGAGGGCCATTTATGGCCCTCTGAAGGATTTTGGGAGTCTCAAATTGAGGAAATCTGTCCTGCAAACATAGGTGATTGATGCAGATGGACACATTTTGCAACAATCTTTACAGATAAATAACTTCTTAAGAAAAATATTTGCCATAAAAAATAGATTCCCATTTATTAACACGTTCTTTATCATTCATGTTAATTTCAGAACAACTAGAATAACAAACATTGACCTGCTTTTCCTAAAATGTAAATATTACTTCTCATACGAGAAAACAACCAGAAGAATTTGGAAACAGTTGGTCTTGACATACACAACCATTTTCATCAAAAATGTAACTAGTTTGTTCATTTTAGTACAATTAAGAGGGTTTACTTTATTACTGAAAAGCTATAATAAACAAAAGGCTGGAAAAGTTTGTTTTAAAACTATGATTTTGGTTTTCCCAAGTGCTTTCAGCTTAACATTGGCCCACTTTGCAAAAATTGGTTATGAACCACCGATTTGATTCAGATGTTGAGCCACAGAAACATGTGAACATGGAGGCTGACGTTGGATACCACAACTACAGCGCTGGAATAATTGGTCCTTTCTCTCCAATTGTGCCAAAGATACACGGTGGTTGTCCTTGGTAACGGCAAAGATTAGCCTGATTCAAAACTACTGCAAAAATATTAAGAAATATCAACTTTGTACCCAGAAAATAACCTAAATGAAGTATCGGATTAGAAGGTTTGAGAAGTAAATAATATCAGCATATGATGATACTTTGTGGTTAAAGTGATCCACGATTAGCTGAACATGTCGGTCTTATGTTTTCATTTTCCTATCAATTAAAAGAAATTGCTGTTTGACACATAAAAACTCAATTACTTCAAAAATGTCATATCTTTCGTAATATAATTTCACCCAGGGAGGTCGCCATTTTTTCACTTGCTGGGTTAATGACACGGTTGGGTCCGTTCAGTACTGGAATCTACAGAGTAAACACAAGAAGGCTAACTTTACCTGAGTTGGCTGGTGTGAATTCAGACAATGCCACACTCTGTCACTGTTGGCTGTAATTTAAGAACAAAAAAATAGTGAGACGAGTCTGGATCGATTCCCAAAAAGCCGAACACTTCTGAACAACGTATATTTGTGCTCTCAACATTTCTCTCCAGAAATCTTTGAGTCAGTTGTACAAGCAAAATTTATGAAGGAGCTAACAGGTGGTCGTTACCCTCTCAAGCTTAAAACAAATGCTGTGGCGTTAGTTTTTATTCACGAAGCCTATAAACCCAGCCAGCAGCTAGCAACCAAAAGACGCTGGGAGAAACAAAAGACACTTTTAAATGACAACGGAACTGTTGCTACTGAATGTGAAAACATGGACTTCTTACAGGATCAGACAGTCCGACCAGAGGTACGTGTCATTCTTTTTTCATTTAGTAGCAGCAGCACAAACACTTGTTCCACCAACTCTTTCCTCTTCCTCCGTTTGCTCCTCATCTTCATTACTCTTTGTGATTTCTTCATTTCCATCCATTTCAACGCGCTCCGGTTCAAATTGAAAAAGCTTAACGGCTTAATTTATCACTGATTTGACTGGACGGAACTACTAGCGCGATCAGACCTAGCATACATAATTTACCCAGAATGCATTGTAGTGTAACAGCATGGCGACGGTCATGTGACAGTACGTAATTTACCTTTTTAAAATCCAAAGACGCTACAGTGTTTTTACTGTATTGCTCTTACATCTAAAATACACATTTCTCAGATAAAGTCTCTTGTAATAACTAGCTTTAGACGGCTATAATGTTTTCATATCTGCTCTTCTTGGGTTTAATGATCATGGTAAACAAATCCTTTGGGTTTGTTGCTCCATTACACTGAAATCTGCTGAAAGACTTAAAGTTGAAGGAAATTGTCACTTTTGATGCATTTAAAGTCACTATTAATCACTTTGTAAATTATTTGACTGATATCAAGTATTTTAGTCCTATTTTTCTTTTATGGGTGTGTTTGCGCTTTAGCTTGCACATTTAGATAAAAGTCACATGGATGTGCTTCAAGTCTGTTTCTGTCCTCATTTCATCTGCCTGTAAAAGGAAAGACATGCCAGCCCACCAGCTGTCCGGATCTACCTGGACCAGAGCCTGATGTGTTTCCCTGATGATGGAGGATAGGATTCAGCTGATGGTTCAGCATCCACAGCATGACTGATATTCTGCCAGAAACGTGTAGTTCCCCCCCTCCCGCCTTCTAAAAACAGCTTCCTGGACCGCATGCTGACACCAGACACTCGCCGTACTGGACATCTGCCGGACTCGCTGCAGTCTGATGATCAGATTTATGCAACTCAGGTGAAACTCTCATGTAAACAAGAGGACCATGCTTATTAACACAGCAATATTTCATTCACTGCAACCGCTTTTGTTGTTTTTAAGAGGTTTGGTCCAGTTTTTAAGGAGTGTTGTTACTGTTACTTGTTAACAAAATTGACTCATTCCTTGATTTTAGCAGCCCTAACTTATATAAGATGACCTTCACTACAAAAAACAAAAACTTTCCAAGTAAGTTTCTGGTGCATTTATCTTAGAAAACTTGTTTTAAGTCAATAATTCCTCAATGCTGATTAAAAGGCTCTTGCAGATTATTTCACTTTTAACATAAGAAATATATATATATATATATATATATATATATATATATATATATATATCTTGATATAAGTGAAATAATCTGCCAGTAGAACTAATACTTGCTTCTGTTATTGCAGCTAGAAACTAGAGATCATGCTGAAGTCTGGGTGTAGTGATGACCTCTGACCTGAACCTTCAGAGCCACATAAAGACGGTTACAAAGTCAGCTTTCTATCACCTGAAGAACATTTCCAGGATTAAAGGACTAAAGTCTTAGCAAGACGTAGACCGGGTATCTGCAAACGGCAAGATAAAGAACTAACTAATGTTTTTAAATGTAGATATAATAACAAATGCAGATTTTTAGCAGTTTATTCTGCAATATGTGCATTGAATTTCTACAAAGAATGGCACTAAAAGCAGATACATACTGCTTGGTATTTATCTAGTTCTAATTTGAATTTATTTTACAAGGGGCCATGCATAAAAATCAACATTAGTATGTTAAAACAACCATGTAACAATGCCAGATTTAGCCACTAGGGTTAATTTTCATCTGTAGTTTTCTGCTAGTTCTAGTTCTGCATCCCCAGAACCAGAACCAAAAATGGAGAAACAGAATTCAGCTTCTATGCACCACAAATCTGGAACAAACTTCCAGAAAACTGTAAAACAGCTGAAACACTGAGATCTTTTAAATCTAGACTAAAATCCCACCTGTTAAGAGCTGCTTTACATTGATAAATTAAAAATTGATCAATATGTTTCATGTATATTTCAGAATCATAAGAATTTATTGTCATTCTCAGAAAGACAACGAAATTGCCGTTTCAGGTACAACCATCCATCATGCAACTGCACGAGGGGGGAAATGGGACGGGGGGATAGATGCCTGAGGCCTCGCAGCCCGACAGGCGCCGCCCTTGGCATTTTATAAAATGTATTTATTGCTGTGTTATAATTTGTTACTTTATTACATTTTTATGGTTTAGCTCCGTTCCAGCTGAAATGTGCGACACAAATAAACTTTACTGAAGAAAATTGTAGAACGATCTTTATTGTGATTTTTTTTTGTTGTGTGCTTTTGACAGTTTTTTCCTGTTTATCTTGATCATATCTGTGATATGACTGAACAATGACACTCAGACACTTTGTGGTTAACATGAGACTTTATTGATCAGTGCTACATGTTTGGTGTGACTGGTAAAAACCAAGGTAGAGGATCGACTGTAGAGTGGGCGGGGTTTAGTTGATGGTGGGCGGAGCTCCAGAGGGGCGGGGTTTACTCGTACAGGAAGGCCTGAGTGGCGGGGGTCCAGTTGACGAACTCCTCTGCCTTGAACCAAAGATCGACCTCTCTCTTGGCGTTATCCAGGGTGTCGCTGCCGTGGATGATGTTCCTGAGGACACAGTCGGGTCAGATCAGTGACTTACAGTTTTATTAATTAACCAATCAGCATCTGGTCGATTCTGTCTGGAAATATTAGTTTCTTCTAAAAAAGAAGTCATTTTCCCCATTTTGTTAAATGAAAACCTCAAGATGTATTTACATTTTTTTAGTAATAATCTAAAATTTTTTCATTTATATATTTTTTGTTGCATTATCATTTATTATTTTTCCAACTAAAATAATCAGTGGTCATTTCTTATTATTTTTACTAATGAAGTATTTTAAAATATTTTATTGTAATTAAATAATTTATTTTTAATTTTATCTGAAATAATTAATTTTAAGCATTTCTAATTTTACTGCCTATCTCACCTATATCACATTAATAAGCTGCATCCTTTTTTATCTAATGCATTTTTCATGTATTTTAGGAATGTATGGCATATATGTTTTTATTTTTAAATGCAGAAATGTTCTAATGGTGACAGTAATATTTACTCTGAATTTTTATTCATGTTAAAAAGTATTTTTATTAGCAAAAATATATTTTTTTAATTGATTCTAATGTAAAAATGTGTTTTAATATTTATTTTTCTGTTTGTTCTCATTAAATTAGACTTTTTTCCTAATTTTTCTGGATATTCCTTGAGAACAAACCTCTTCTTGGACCTCAGTAATCCCATTTGTGGTTAAGTTTTTGATTATATCGACTCTTTGCAGTCATTTCCTGGTGCGTTGTGTAAGTTTTGCAGCGTTGCCATGGTTTCCTCACCTGCCGATGTTGATGCACAGGTCTCCACGGATGCTGCCGGGCTTGGAGTCAGCGGGGTTGGTCTCACCCAGCATCATCCTGGCCAGCTTCACAATGCTCTGACCCTCCCAAACCTGAAACACAAATCCAAACACAAATGTCTGAAAGCACGTTTTTATTCTTTAAAAATGTTCCCATCTGAAACAGATTTCTGCAAAATACAACTTTAAAAAGTGTGAATCACCTACTTTACTGAACTTAGTCATATTTTTGAATTTAGTGATATTTATTAATGCTCTCCTGGCAGAAAATGTGGAGAAAATATAAAAAATAACATTTACGATCATACTATATGTTCTACGTGTCTCCATGGTAACACTTAGTGGACAAGCAGCTGTCCTCCATGTCTCCATGGTAACACTTAGTGGACAAGCAGCTGTCCTCCATGTCTCAGCTTCCTGTTGGACTGAAGCAGCTGAGGCCTTGAGGACCAGCAGGTGCCAAGAGGTTGTTGACGTAACGGAAAAACAAAGCAGGAAGTTATGTGCGGCCATGTTTGTGTTGGCGTTACCATGGCGAGGACTGGTCCGGAGGACATGTATTTGCAGAGTCCTGCATAGAAAGGCATGTCCTTCAGGTCCAGGTAGTGCTTCTTCATGTGGTCCTCAGAGGCCTGCACACAGACCGGGGAGAGTTATGCATGAAGCACAAGCAAAAAGTAAGTACACCCTGCTGATCACACACGATTTAAGACTTTAATTAACCAATCAACATCAGTTTTACTGCTCTGGAGCAGAAAGGTGAGGTAAAAATCAGAGAAGCAACTTGAGCTGCTCATCAATCTGCACTGAAAAACATTTCCTACCAAGTATTTTTGATCTCATTTCTACTACAAATGTTAGTACACTTAAAATGAGACAAAAGTAACTTTTCAGCCAGATATATGAGCTTGTTTTAAATCAAAAAATCTTTAATATTGATGAAAAATAACTTATAAGAAAATGTCCAGTTATAAGTGAAATAATCTGCCAGTGGAACTAATACTTAAAAAAAAAAAATATTAATATTAAGGAGTTATTCTTAAAATAAGCTCCTATGTGTTGCTGAAATGCTACTTTTAAATCAAATATGTTTGGTTTAGTTTTTAGCACAAATATCTTAGTGCACTTGAAATAAGGCAAAACTAACTTAAAAGTAACTTTTCAGCAAAACACAGGATATTGCTTTAAGTCAATAATTCCTTAATATTGATTCAAAAGTTTAGAATATAAGTCAGTGAGTAAATTTGTCCCCAGTTACCATGACAACAGAAACCAGAAAGTTTGGAAAAGATAATCACTTTGTGTTGCATCTAACATTTTTATCAGTAGATTTTAATTTAAAAGTTTGTTCGAATTTATTTATTTTTGTATTTTAGTTGGAAGGGCTGCATGAAATCAATGACCCCTGACCCCACATTGAACACCAGATGGACTCAGACTCCATCTGGTGTCTGCTGCCGACCAGGGGTGTACTTAGTTTTCCTCCTGGTCGTCATTTTGTTTCTCACCTGGACGAATTTGGCAGCGATCAGCTTGAAGCCTCTTGTCTCGAAGCGCTTGATGATCTCACCACACAGTCCTCTCTGGACGCCATCAGGCTTCACAGCGATGAAGGTACGCTCCATGTCTGCTGAGGAGGCTGCAGAGAAACACGCATCTCATTTATTCACACCTGAAAACCTTCATGTGAGGGAAAAACGGGGTTAATTCGACACTATGTGCTAAAAAACTAAGAAAAATGAGAAGAAACTAAACAAAAACAGAATAAACTCTTAGAGCCACTGTAGACAGAAACAAAGGAGTGAATTTACTCCTCTCTTTTCTTATCTACAATATAGACAATCAAACTGGACCCGAATCTCTGAAAGGCCGCAAAAAGTCAGTGAACCATTAAAGAGTAAAAACGTAATGAGTCTGGAATAAAAATAAGAACATCCACCGGTCATCCTGGAATAAAAACCCATCATAGATCCATCCTCATCAGAAACCTGACCCAGTTTTCGATCCGCTTTCTGGTTTTGTCTGGACCCAGAAACATGTTGCTAATTTTACAGCTGCTGGTATTTGTTGTCGTGACTCTGGCAGCAGCTGAGGGTCAGAGGGAGAGGCTCCCAGTTTAACCTCCTGCTGGGTATTATTAGGATCCCAGTTTGGGTTCTGCTGACCCTTCAGATTGGGTCCAGATGAAACCAGAAACTGGGCAGAACAGAACCGGTTCCAGGCGGGAGAAACAAACAAGACTGGGGAAATTAAAACTCGCCCTGAGCCACAAAGGTTACTAAACTTTTGTGAAAAACTTTAAAATGTTTGATAAATATCTGATAGGAAATGGACCTTTTAAAGAGCCGCCATTTTATTTCTGTTTTTAGGTTTTAAAACTAAGAGAAACAAAATATTTACCGAAACATTGATGTTTCTACCGGATTTAGATGTTGCGATTGATTTTGAACAACAAAAATATTTAGTTTCAAATGTAATGATGAGAAAAAAATTATATTTCTGAGATTTGTGTCATTCTGGTGTGGAAATTTAACAAAAAGGACAAAGAAGAATCCAGAACCAGAACCAGAACCAAATCATCTTCTGCTGCAGGATCTGTCTTCTGGGATTTTTGAAATGTTCCAGAACTATTCTAGTTTCAAATAAAATCAAATAAAAACTCTTGAGATTAATGAATGAATGAATTTTGCATGTTGGACAAAAAAAGGTTCAGAGATTCTGCAGCATAAAGCTCCGAACTTTCCAGACTTTCTCCACTTGATCCGAACCAGAATCTAAAAACATTTTTCTGCAAATATAATTAAGAATTTCTGTAAAAACGGAGGGAGAACGCTTTAAACGCTTCATGCAACAGAGTTTTAGTGAAGCTGAAAACCTGCAGGACGCAGCGGTTCGGGTCCAGTTCAAATGTTTCTGCAGGGTCAGAACCCTCAGTGCCGGGTCAGAACCCTCACAGACCGGGTCCGATATCTACCTGAGTTCTGGGACTTGAGGAGAACTTGTGAAGTTGAGTTGCCGGCGGCTGGGATGCGACACCGAAGCTGAAGACCCGAACAGCGGTTCTATATGGCGGCCGAGCCGCGGGCGGGGTGAGGGCGGGGCCGGCCCGTGGGCTCGGTTCTGAATCACTGGAAGCCGCTGACGGATCCCTCATTTGTGCATGTTTGTCTGTCACTGACTGGACAGTTTTAGAAGCTGTTGTCAAAGATCCAAAAGCTGCAAACGGAGAAAGAGAAACAAGAAAATATTCTCCACATTTCTTAACACTGAAGTCAGAAATCCGTGATTTTTAAAATTATCTTAAAAAAATTAATAACTAAAATAAATCTTTAAAAATAAACCATGTGGATGTAGATGAAACTACTAAACACGCAACTTCTGAAAACTTTTATAAAGTATCTTTAAGCTTTATAAAAGAAGCTTTTGGATTCTGTTTTTTATGAAAGAATTTATTTTATCTGCAGCTAAAATATTTATGATTACATTTCTAATAAACTTTTACCTGGTTTAAAGTGGAATTAGCACTTCTTGCTCAGAATATTATGTTTTCGTTACAAGTTAATTAGTGGTTAATTAGTGAGGCTGTTTGCTCCAGTAGAGTCACAAACAGGATGGATGATGGAGCTGAAACTGTAAAATCTCTGAGGGAAAACATGGCAGCTTTCTTTCAGCCAGCTGGCTGTCAGTGTAGGGGCGCAGCTAAATATTTTTCTGAGGTGTATGAAGACACATTATAAGGGTTTTCAATGCACCATCAGCTGTTGAACACAGAAAATGAGCTAGAATAATTATCAAGCCATCTTCTGGCGCCCGCTAGATTGGCGCCCTGCAACAGATGTTTGATTACATACCGAAGAAGAACTTTCTTTAAAAAATAACTTTAAACCATCGGAACCAAGAAAAGCTAAAGGTATAAAATGATTAAATAGATGGACAGCTTTTGAGTTTGTCAGGAGTGTAAACACTACACTACCCATAATTCAATGCTCCCCGTCGCTATGGTGGCGACTGGGTTGATCAGAACCTAAATCTGCGGTTTAAACTGGGAGCAGAACCAGAATCCAGACCCAGATGAGGGGAAGCGCGGTGCCGGCTCTCACCTGATAAATATAACAGTCCTTCACCCTTCACCCAAATTTCCCACTAAATATAAACCTTCTCCTTATCAGGGATGGAAAGCAGACTCCTCTCATGGAGGGGGGCAGGGTGAGGTTCTGTCCACTCTGCAGCCCTGCATGCTGGGGAGGCTCGGTGGGTGTGGAGGGGGTCCAATCAGGTCACCTCAAACCAAACATACCCCCCACCCTGACAGCTCCCTTCAGGAATCAAACATCTGAGCTGCAGGTTCGGGTTGCTCTCAGGTTTGGGGTTGTAGGTTCGTGTCCCACGTCCTCACTGTCCTCATGTCCTCGGTTCCGTCCAGCGGGTCAGTCGGTACCGTTTGCATAAACTCTTAATTGTTTCCAGAAATCCACATAAATCTGATTTAATCTGAATAAATCGGATTATTTTCAGATTTTGTCACATAGTTTTATGTTTTCCTATGTTGTTTCTTTTTTTTTTCTGTTCCAGAACCAAACCTGCTTTACTGCAGAAGGTTTGTGAAGTTTGCTGATGGCGCCACCTTCTGGCCGGAAAACAAACTGAGGCGGATTTTATTTTATTTTTTGTCTCCAGATTTTATTTCAGTGTTTGTAGTGAGACAGCAGAGGGAGGAGACGTCTGCAGGAGGCGGGGTCACGTTCTCCATAATCAATAATCACCAAAACAAAAACAAAAACAAAAAAAAAAAATCCTATTCTGGTCATCAACTCATCACTGATGTTAAACTAAATTAGCAACGTTTTCTAAAATCAAATTAATCCAAAATCTACATATGAAATATGAGAAAACAAGTATGTAATTTTGAATTAACACATTTTGGAAAGTTATGAAATTAAAAAATAAATTAAATAATTTGGAATAATTATAATTCTTTTAGTTTAAATGTGAATTAATAAAATAACATTAATGATAAAATATTGCAAAAGAAAATCCTGAAAGTCAATATAACTACGTATAATATAACTATCATTATATTTTTATCTAATTTTATTATGAAAATAATAAAACTCTGAACATTATTGCTGATGGTTTCTCATTTTAATATGACTTTATTTTTACTTATTTTTTTCTTTAACTCATTAAAAAACAACATACTAAGGGTTTTTCCCCTATTTTTTAAAATTAAATCCAAATTAAAATGAATAAATTTTGTTTTTATCACAACTGAAATTCAGAAATTTTCTTCGATTGTTTAATGAAAACCTCTTCAACCAAAAGTTTCTTCACTAAAAATTAAGAAAAGAAAAAACATTTTGGAGGAAATACTTCCATTTGTTTTTAATCTTTTTTTTTTTTTTTTTACGTTTTTGTCTAAATTTAAATAGAAAATATTTCTCACTTAACTCTGATGAAAATCAGATTTATCTGAAATTGACAGATTGTTTTTCAGTAACTTACAGTACCAGTTATTTTTGTTGAGTTTTACTTAACAGTTTTAATTATTTAATTTTAATTATTTCAAGTTTACAAAGTAAAGCTCAAATTGTGTATTAATGTATCTTTAACGTTTCTATTATAAATTAAAATCAAATAATCTGAACCTTAAGGCTCCGCCCCCCTTCCAAACGTCTCCTCCAATCACATTATTCGCAGAAGAAAAGGATTCGTTTCCATGTAAACAGCCACTTCTGTACAAATAAAAAGCAAACAGAAACAAAGTTTAGATAGAAAACAACTGAAACATCAAACTGAAGAGATTTCTGTACATTTCATAAAGTCATAAATTCATTTTCATAATTTCTCTCTTTTTCAACGTCTTAAACTTTCTGAGTTTTACAAATAAAAGACACCAAATGAAAGTTTTTCTCCTTGAGGTGGCGCTGCTCTCCCTCCGTTCATACATAAAATAGAATCTCCGATAGTTTTTATTTACACACTTCAGATATTTACAGATTTTTTTTTAGTTTTCAGACCAGTGACATGGTGGTCAAAGCTCTGGATCCCGGAACAGTTCTGGGCCGAGGCAGTGATCGATCTTTGGACCAGAACCGGACTCAGAACCGGACTGGGATCCACGACATTGCGCGCCTGAGACCCAGAAAGTGGTCCTGAGAGAGCCGTGGGCTGATCGGTGATCGTCCACCTGAACTGGGCTTTTGGACCGCCATGAAAACCAGACCAGACCAGAATGAGAACTTCATCTCAGCAGGAAACCGTACTGATGGTTCCTGAAGAGAGAAGCTTTTATTTTGGAAGTTTACATTTAGATTCATGATACTGATATGATCCATCTCCTGATTTTACTGATTTTTTTTTTTTTTTTTTTTTTTTTTCAGAAAAGATTTTGGTTTTTGTAACTTCTGGTCAAATTTGAGTTCAAACTCTGGATTTCTGCTTCAATCAGAAGTTGGAACCATTTAGGGATTTCAGATGATGGTGCTATTAAAGAAATTTAGATTATTTGGTTGGTTTCAAACCAATCCTCGTACTTGGGATCAAGGTTGGAATTTCAGCTGTTTTTCTTGGTGGTATAAACCCCTGGCTCTGTGTTGGATAAAGGTCCAGTCAAATCATTTTTGTTCTGTCCAGAGTCAACTGGTATCAGTTCATGGTTCTGGAATGTGTTCCAGTTTAAGCTTTTACTCAAATTCAGTTTTGGCAGCAAAACCAAAGGTTCACTCATTCATACGTTTCATACCTTTCTGTAAACATAAATTATTGAGCCAGAAGCACTGGCCAGTGATACCATTAATGTTCCAGAACCTTACTGGTTCCCAGTCAGTGGAGCCGATTGAGTTTCTGAACAGGAACGACCTGAAACTGGATGATATGGTACAGATGGAGAATAAAAAAGATCTCACTGCCCACCAGAGCTGAGAACGGCAAGTATTTATTTATTACAACCAACCAACCAACCAACCAACAATCGAACCAACCAACCAACCAAACAGCAATCCAACTAGCACCATCATCCATCCATCCATCCATCCATCCATCCATCCATCCATCCATCCATCCATCCATCCATCCATCCATCCATCCAACCGCATCATTCATCCTTTAATTCATTCATCCAATCGATCCAATCAACCAACCAATACATCAATGCAACCAATCACATCATCCAACTAACCAACCAACCAACCAACCAACCAACCAACCAACCAACCATCCATCCCTCCATCCATCCTGCAGTTAGAAAAAGACATATCAGCCTCCATGCCAGGGTCCGTCAGCTCTGGTGGTGTCCAAAACAACAACTCTTTAGATTTCTATAACTGGAGTAAATATGACAGCAGCGTGATGAGCTGTACAAACACAGAACCAAGCGATCCAAACACAACTGGACTGAACTGAACAGAATTCTACTGAAGAAGGAGTAAACAGAACCTCTGTGTGTCTCTGAGCCCTGAGGTTTGACAAAAAGTGCTTCGACCAGCCGGCGCCGCTTCCAGCCGCCTCGGTTTATTGCCTCAGACCCGTCAGAGCCCGTCAGAACTGACCAATAGGAGGCCGGCTCTGGGCGGGGGTAGGCGGGTCCTTTGTAGAGCCGGCTGGTCGTTCAGGTGTGACAGCAGGTAGAGAGAAAGAATTTGATCAACTCTGAGGAGTTATGTCATCCCATCAACACGACTGATTGGCTAAAGGTCCGACCAATCAGATAAAAGAGTCATGCTCTCTTAAAGGACCATTCCTTATTTTTTACTCCAGATTTAACCAATCAGGTGGAGGTTTATTAAGTTTAGATATTCTGATCTGAAACCCAGAGGTAAACAACAGACTAGTCCTTTAAGAGGAGCCTGATCTGGATCATGTGACCCTCAAATACTGTGAGATGTTCAGGAACCATCATCATTGTCTGGAAACACAAAGACTGTAGAGTCTTCAGACGTTGTTCGGTAGAAAACCAGCATCTACTCTCTCTGATCCAATCAGGTGAGTTGGTGCTCCGTCGGCGTCCACGAGTCCGACAATTAGTGAATGCCTCGCCACCTGCCTGGACTCTGAGTGGAATATGGCAGCAGGTATGAAGCCTGGGTCGGCCCCAACATCAGGACCTTTGTTGTCTTTTGTTAAAAACATGAAATCCGCCTCGGCGCGAAACGAAACGATGGCTGTTTTCCTCCTTGCTTTGAACATTTACAGATCAGTTCTGGACAGAACTGAGAACCGCTGTTGGTCTCTGTTCGCGGTTCAGATCTAATGATCGCTCTGCAGCAGCCCCACAAAGTCACAGTACCATCAGCCCGCTGCGGGGGGCGCAGTCCTGCTGCAAAAGCTCTTTATCCTCGACCCGTTTGGTCCATGAAGTCAATGAAAATAAAATCGGAAGTCTGGAAAATCACACATTAAATCCTGCAGCTTGACTCCGGCTGAAGGAAGCTGATTAGACGATGCCTGCCATTTATCTGCATTCTGATTGGTCCATGCGTCAGGGGTTGGGTCATCAGTTTCTAACACACAGCAGTGAAACTGCTTATTTTTTTCTTCAAATATTGTTTCAGGAGAAACATTAAAGCTCAAGGTTTGCTCTTTAATGCACCTTCTGAATTTAAAGGAGCAGCACCTGACACATACTGCCATCTGCTGGTAGAGAAAGATAAACATTTGCTTGATGCTTCATTTTTCCCCTGTATTTTATAGCTGGATCATGGCTGTTCTCCTGTTTGAAAATGCATAAAGAGAAAAATCTCAGGTAATAAAGACAAAGTTTGATCATTTTGTAAAGGGATCAAATGGGAACTAAACTGTTTTAATAATTAAATATTTAAAAGAGAAATTTGTTTGATTCCTAATAATCAGTGTACATCAGTGTAATTTCTATTACACTGATGTAATGATGGTAAATTTGTGTATCTTCAGAAAATTTTAATAAAATTTTTAGAGGAGAGAAACTATACATATATATTGTATTTATTTGTTTCTTTATTGATTTTTTATTTATTTATCTACTTATCTGGGTTTACATGTTTACCTTTCTACAACATAAAGATGATTCTCTCGGAGTGCAGGAGGGTGGTAAACATTTTTCAAAAGGGGGCCATTGCCCCCTCTGGGTCCCCCCTCAGGAGCGCCACTGCTTTTCTGCTACTGCAGCTGAAAATACGCAGAATTTGAGGTAAATATAAATAACTATGTGAATCGACTGGGTAGGTTGGTTTGTGGAGGAGCCATAACTCCACTTTGTGTTTCAGCTGTGTGTTAGGAACCAGTGCTTAGGTTTTGGGTCGGTTCTGGTTCTGCAGAATCCTGCAGAGACGAACCAGAAAAAAGACGAAAGAAACCAGAGTTGTGGGTCTTCAGGTTCGGAGGTGTGGCAGAATGTTTTATGTTATATGATGAAGAGGAGCAGGTGTAAATCTAACGTCCGGGTCATGACCCTCCTCCTCTTCCTCGCCGCTCCTTCGTCCCTCTACGTGTCTTTGGGCTCCAGCTTGCAGGACATGTCAAACAGCAGGTTCTGGTTGTCGATCACCTGCAGCTGACGGACGTAGGCCTTCGTCTGCAGGTGGGAGGGGGACGTCTCTGTATCTATGGCTACCAGGAAACACATCACAACATCACTGAGCAGTCACAGCTGCAGTGGCAGAAACCTGCCACCAGGTGGAGACAGACAGGACAGTGAGGAAGAGTTTGGACTCACCCAGCTGGGAGCTGCGGTACCGTCTGATGGTTCTCACCATTTCAGCCACTTTATGCTGCAGAAAATGATAAATATGAGATTACTGAGGTTCTACGGGATGTGGTTTCACATCACAGCAAAAACACAAAAGCTTACCAAGTATTTTTGTGTAGTTTCTACTGCAAATACCTTTGTCAACTTGAAATAAAACAAAACTAACTTAGAAGAAACTTTTCAGCAAGAGTCAACAATTCCTTAATATTGATGAAAATGTTCTGTCCCATTAGCATATTATTTCACTTGGAACATGGGGAAATTTCTTGTTATAAGTGAAATAATCAGCCAGTGGAAATACAACTTTCCATCAACATTAAGGAATTATTGACTTAAAACAAGCTTCTCTCTCTTGCTGAGAAATTACTTGTAAGTTTGTTTTTCTTATTTCAAATGTACTAAAACATTTGCACTACAAACCAGACCAAAAACACTTAGTAAGAATTTGTGTTTTTGCAGCGGGACCAAAAAGGTAATAATAATAAAAAAATAGTCAATTTTCTTTAAGGAAAGGGATTTTCTTCATCCTAGAACCAAAACTCAAAAAGGATTTTTCATGTTTGCTGTATTCAAAGAAAGACGATTATTTTTCAAATTCTCTTTGTCTTGATTTAACAAATCTATTCTCAGCCGAGTTTAATAATTAAATAAGAGCTGGTTTGGGTGCTGCAAAGTTTTCAAAGAAAGTCTGAATAAACTTTCTACTTTTTATAAAAGCTAGGTTGTAAAAAGATAAAAAGTTTTTGTTTTACTTAACAATTTCCACTGCAAAATAATAATTTTACACTGATTTTACCCTAAAGTTTAAGTTGAACTGCAGTTGGGGCCAAAAGAAATCAATCCAAGGGCCACAAATGGCCCCTGTGCCGCTCTTTGGGCACCCCTGGTCTCAATCTTTTCAGCTCATTTAGCTCCTCTGGAGTTTTATCACCAAACTTCAGGAGTTTTCAGTATTTTTTTTTTCATGCAATGGTTGTGAAACAGTTTTGAGTCTTTTTCTGTCTCTTTTAAACTTTTTTAGCTGATAAGCTGTTAAGGTAACCTCATTTATTCACCTGTAAAAATAATTAAAACATCTGAACATTTCCATTATGTCGTAAGTGAACAACAAACTCACCATCTTCTCAAAGTTGACGAATTCTCCGTGGAACGTTTTGCAACTCTCGTGAAGAAACGTCAAATCTGCAAACGACACAAATCAGAACAGTCAGGAATCTCACTGATGGAGAAAAATGGATTTATCAGATGCGTCCTTTGCTACAAATGATCAAGAATTCACCAAAGGAATGGAATTTTATTGCATTTTAAAATGATTATTAAAGGAATTAAATTGTTTGTTTTGTTGGGATCTTTTAAAGTACATCTAATATTATACAAAAAAGCTTAAGAAATAATTTTGAAATCTGCAGAAAGTGTAAATTTTTTAATCTGATTAATCACTAGAATAATCAAACACTATAATAATCATTCGTGTTTTTCACTTTCCACCCACTGGGGGCGCCAGATCACAATTCAAAAATAACAGTTTTCATCTTTTTTTTCCTTTAACCTACTTTCATCCGTCCTGTTCTCTGACTGTGTTGCCATGGAGACGGAGAGTTTCAAGCTCTCCAGCATGTCCTCTCTAATAATTAACAATTATTTACCTGAAATTTATTAAAAACAGAAAAACCAGTGTAACGGTGAAAGGTTACAGAACTGTTGGAAATCATAATAAACAGATTTTGTTTAATTTTTTTCCCTTCTTGCTTAGCAGATAAACAAAGAGCTGATTGGCCAGCAGGTCCAACTGCGTCTGTTCCTCAGCTGGGAGCAGAGCCCCATGGGAAATGGCAAAATATTAAGACTTCAGGAAATTTGTGTTTTTCCAGTTTGTTGTCGCAAAAAATACAGTGATAGGATTGAAAAAAACAAAAAAAACAGAAGAACTGTTCAAATCAGTAAAACCCATCAGTTCTCTAAGTTCTGGTCGGGTTCTGGTCACCTTTCAGCAGCAGCGGGGTGAACGGGATCAGCGGGGGTCTCAGGCTGGTGATCAGGTCCCTGTAGGACTTGTGGTTCCTGGACGGGTCCTGAAGGAGAAGAAGGTCAAAGGTAAGCATTGTGTTTCTGAACCGGGTCGGTTCTGATCGGCACAGACCCAGGATCAGCGTGGGAAACTCACAGCGATGCTTTCGAACTGCTGGAACTGCTTCCTGAACTTCCCCGGAAGACCCTGAGAACATCAGAGGAGATTTCCTTATCAGAACCAAAGGATCTGGTTCTACAGACGGACTGGGTTTTACAGAACCGTCCGGTCTGTTCTGTTAAAAACCCGGCGGGTCGTACCTCCCAGGTGAGCCGCAGTCTGCTGACGGCTGGGTTGTCCAGACCCAGAACCACCGCCAGGAAGGACAGCAGGTCCTGCTGCTGTTTACAGCTGGAACAGAGCAGAACCGGGTCAGTTCATGACCTGAACACCAGGAGGCAGCAGAGAGCTGCAGAGGAACAATGGCGTTCAGTTCAATTTGAACACTGATTATTGACCATTTAGCCCCAAAACTGATCACAATATTTGATAAGTTCAACTGTGTATTAGGTCCATTGAAGATAGAAAAAAAGAGGAGGAAATTTGAACATTTTCTAGAAAAGAATGTGGAAATTTTTGACTGAAAAGTCAAAGATTTGCTAATAAAATTTCAAAACGTTTGAGATTAATCTGAATTTTTTGGAAAAAAAACAAACTTTTTTGACTTTTGGAAATTTTCTGAGTTTCAAAAGTTGAACATTTGACTTAAAAAAAAATCAAAAATCACCAAGTATTTTCTGGACTGAATCTCAAAATTTGTATTTTTTTCTCCTACAAATTTTCAACTTTTCATACTAAGAAATTTCTATGTTCTTTTCCTACAGAAAGTCATTTTCACTGTTTCTTCTCGGTCTACAATGGCACTAATATGTCTACGTGAATAAGATTTATTTATAAATCTAAAGAAAAATGTTTCTTGACCTATTTTTTTATTGAGGGAATAAATTCCAGTTGAAAATTATTAATATTATGATGTTAGTCTCTCTGGCAGTCATTTAATTACGCCTTTTTAATTTACCAAAAAATGAAAAATATTTTTAATTTGTTCTATGAAAGGAAATAAAATGTTTACATTAATGATATTTTCTGTAGTTTGTGTGGATAATAAACTCACAGCGCTGCGATCTTGATGAACTTGCGCAGCAGCTGGATCCTCTTTGGCAGTGACTGGCATTGCAAGATCTCCGTGGCGACCCAGTGCTGCACCTCGCTGCAGCGCTGCAGTACCAGCTCCAGGTTGAGGGGGCGCCAGCGGGACTGCTCACCATGAAATACGTAACAGATGAACTCCACCTGCAGGGGGCGATATGGGTGTAACATTAGATGAAAAAGTTGCAGATAGTTTTTTTCAGATAATCATGTTTTTACGATTTTTCACCAAACGTTTTTCTGACCTCGTGAACGCAGCTGAAAAGTTCCCAGTCAAACACCACCAGCTGATTGGCCACTTCCTCCGCCGACATGTCGTGAAGTTTGCTGTCACCAGGCGTCCAGTGGATCTCCTCAGGAAGAGGAAGCTGCAGGAAGTGATGTCAGAATTAAAGGTAAAACAAAAACTCCAGACAGAAATCTGTCTTCACTGTTGAACTTTGAACCCAACGATAAGAGTCACTTATCAGTAGGTAGCTTTAGTTTCCCAAATCTGGGAACTAAAATAGAGGTTCCTCAAGGTGTGGCGCTTGGCCCCCTTTCTTTCTCCTTATTCTTATTCAAACCTACTCGCTCTTTGTTTCTAAACTGGACTGGATTGATTTTAGACTGGAATGGATTCATTTTAAACTGGATTGTTTCTAAACTGGACTGGATTGACTCTAAACTGGACTGGATTGATTTTTGACTGGACTGGATTCATTATAAACTGGACTGGATTTTTTCTGGACTGGACTGGATTAATTTGACTGTACTACTCTACATCTGTGTCACCTTCATCCCCATGACACCATTCCAGTTAGGAATGGTGTCAGTTATCCAGTGTTCAGTTTGATTGATTTATTGGCAGGATTTATTTGTGATTTAGTGGTAAAGCAAATCTCCATGAACAGAGAGAACTTTGCCCTGAGCCAGAAAATGTTCATAAAAACACTGATTACAACTCATGATATAATATTCCATGGAAGGAAAACTGTCCTAATCTGTTTAATGTTTTATTAGGGGTAATTCCAGTCATTACAACAAATACTTCTGGTTAATTATTCATCAAATTAATCAGGTTAGCATAGCGGAGACCTAACTGTCCTCAATAAATGTCCTGAATCCAGTCTGGATTCTGGTTACTGAATTTCACCTGTTAGTTTTTATCCTGACTTTCCCAACTGGATTTTCCATTGGTTTTCTGCAAAGATCAGCACAACCCGACATTTTCTCTGGTTTCATTGGCCGTTGCTACCCTACAATCAATCACCCTTCAATCAATAAGCATCGATCCTCACCAGAGAGTCTAGTTCAGAGGGTTCACAAGCGAACAGGTGGGTGTTGACACCCAGTGTGGTGAAGACGGCCTCGTCGCTGGGGCGAAACACGGCTTTTTCTGCAAACACAGCCACCATCAGTCACAGCGGGATAAAAACCCAAAACATCCACAACCTGAGGGAAGACGGACCTCCAGCTGAGGTGACGGCCACCAGTATGAGGTTTCCAGGCAAAACTGGTTGGTCCTCGCTGTACTGGAGTTTCTCTTTGACCAGCGCCAGAATCTCTCCAACCCGGCAGGACAGGCGGCTCCGGATGGTGACGTAGGAGTGATCCGGGGTGTACACCCTGCAGAAGACTGCAAACACACAAAAATATCACACTGAGCTGGGAATGTTCACCAAAAAGTCAACTTCATTTGAACAGAACATTTAAGCAACAAGGCAGGTCAAAGTCCAATAAACTTTATAGTTTATTGGAAATCCTCAAGCAAATCAAATATATTGATCCATTTTCCAGTTATTATGAATCAAAGAAAACTCTAAAGAAACAGGTTTTTAGCCTTGATTTAAAGGAACTCAGTTCCTTTAAAGAACTGTAGAGTCTATTCTCTGAGCTACAGTTCTTCAGGTGATAGAAGGCTGTCTTTGTAACCGTCTCTATGTGTTTCTGAAGGTTCAGATTTCAGTCTGATCTCTAGTTTCCAGCTGTAGTAACTGAAGCTGTGAAGTGACTCTAGATCGTTCCTCTTCAGGTCCAAAGATAATAACTTCAGTTTTGTTTCTGTTCAGCTGGAAAACGTTTTGGCACATCCACACATTTATCTGTTCTAAGCATCTGTTCAGTGATTGGACGTTTCTGGGTCATCTGGTGACATCATAATGTAGATATTAAATAGGAGGGTTCCAAGGATTGATCCCTGAGGTACTCCACATGTGATTTCTGTCCGCTCTGATGAGAAGTTAGCTACTGACACAAAGAAATCCCCGTTCTTTAGGTAAGATCTGAACCGACCCAGTTGTCATGGTCAAATCCTGCAATGAGATCCAACAGAACCAGCACCATGGTTCCTCCACAGTCTGTATTTATGTGGATGACACTAAACACTTTGACAAGGGCTGTCTCTGTGGTACTGTGGTAACCATGGAAACCGGAGTGAAAGACGTCAAAGCGGTTTGTTGCTGTTAAGAAACACAGATTTTTCAATCACCTTAAAGGGGCGGTATCGTGTTTTTTATAGCACAAGTAACTATGTCACCTTCAGCTGTTGTCAAAAAAACTTAAAAGAAACTTTACTTCCTGATTCAATTGGGTCTCTGTCTCTTTAAGAACTCCTGCTCTTTCTAAAGCTCCGCCTTCAGAAAGTCATCACAACATGGCTCCTCGATTAATCCTTCAACAACGTTTTTAACAACGTTTTTACCAGCGTTGCTCTGAGAAGTAGCTCCTATAAGGAACTCAGCAGTTCCACAAGGTGTTTGCTAATTGTTGCTGGCTAGTCTGAAGGAGCTGAGTGGGGGCAGTGGAAGCTCTGAAGCTTGGAAGCTGTAGCTCCAAGGAGGAGCTGCGTCTTGAGGGCGGGGCTAAGTCCACCCAGGCATTTTTCACAGCTGAATGGTTGCCATAGAGATTAAAGGATTTCTGACACATATGTGAAAGAATCAAAGCGACACTCCAGGTCTGTTTTAGATGTTTAAATGAGGGAATAATATTAAAACATGATGTAAAGCTAAAGAAAATGACATATTAAATGATACTGGCCTTATAAATCAACACTTATGGAGATTCTCGCTCCGTCTACTGGTTATTTGTGGAACTGCAGCTGAACTGTTGGGTTGGTCCTTTGTATTCGAGTTAAAAGTCCAAACCTCAGGTGTGTGTGTGCGCGTGTGTGTGCGTGTGTGTGTTCAGGGTGTGTCGGCCAGTGATTTGTATATCCCAACCGCAGATTGCAGCTGTGTTTGCATTTCAATTGTGAGCGTGTGTGTGTTTACAGATCACAGCCTTTATAACTCAGGTGTGTGTGTGTGTGTGTGTGTGCGTGCGTGCGTGCGTGCGTGTGTGTGTGTGTGTGCAGGTATCTGTGGGCGTCGTACTTTCGTCTGAGCCTCTGAAGGCCTCACGGGGCTGCAGGCAGGCATCGATACGTCTGAAGTGTCTGAACAGCGGGCGGACCTGCTTCTTCCTGCTCTCCTTCTCCTCGTCGGAGCTGAATACACAAATATCCCGATTGAAAGGTGAAAACAGCGAATAAACGTGATGAATATCTAACAAAAACAGCAGAATATGTAGTAGTAATATGTAGAGTCTTTGCAGCCTTACGGGCAGTGCAGGATCTCGGACCATCGCTGCAGCTTCAGGACGTCCTCCACCAGCTCAGGATACCGGGTCAACTCCTGAACCGCACACATGTACAGCTCCTGCACACAGACAAACCCACAATCTGAGTTCATTCATCCCAAACGGAGGCGTCAGCACGGAGAACGCGCCAACAGCAGCAGGTTCAGCTGCTTCACTTTCACTTTCAGGCCTTCTTCTCAGAACCAGGGTCTGGAGATTCCCATCAGGCTGCTTTCCAAACCGTTACTGTCATTGCGTGAATGCAAGGTTTGGCCGATAATTATCAGGAAGTCAGGCATGTTGAGGCCTGATGGCGTCTCGCGCTTTGAGACAGATTACATGAGATTACGTCGTTTTACTGAAAGGCTGGGAAGTTTCCTTTTGTTGGTTCTGGAACAACAAAACCCTTCAGGATGCAGCCTGAAGGGCTTCAACCTCCAGGGTTGAAGGATGGCCTGTGAGGTGGTCTGTGAGGTGGTGTGTGTTGGTCTGTTAAGTGGTCTGTGGTGGTCGGTGAGGTGGTCTGTGGTGGTCTGAACATCATGGGGATGTTCAAATTCAGCATCTTTAAAGTTGCTGTATGTAACCTTTATAAAAATTTATATTTTTTTACATATTTGTTGAAACTCTCACCATATTTTGGCAGCTTGGTATAAAACAAATAATCTGTGAAAAAAAGAAATCAAGCTTCTGTCTTCTCCCAGTGAGAACTAGAAACAACCAATCAGAGTGAGGAGGTGGGTCTCAGTGCCCCCACTTCTCCCCACTCGATCTCTGTGATGCTACAGCTAGCATAGCCTGTCATGAATGCTAAGGCTACTTAGTATGGCCACCAAAAATGGTGAATAAACGGTTTTCCAGTAATGGTGAGTTCTTCCTCTGCCATTAGCACATTTAGCAGCACATTAGCGAGATTGATTAACAGTGCTAAGACCCGCCTCCTGCCACATCAGGATTGGTTGTTTTTTAGTTGAGAGTGGTACATTTCTTCAGATGGAAAAAATGGCTCTGGGAGAAGATGGAGATAATTTTACAGATTATCTCACAACATGGTGACAGTTTTATGGAAACAACATATTTTTAATAAAAGTTACAAACTGCAGCTTTGAAGCTGAGGTTTAAAGGAGGAATGTCATGTGGACCAAAACCCTCAGCTCAAAATGTTGTGAATTTTTTAACCTACTCAATAATAAACTAAACATGAACTATTTTAATTAAACAATTAATCAGATTTTTTCCCCCCTGAGATCTAAAACTTCATGTTTTTTGCAAGTATTCCTTGTTAAATGAAGGTATCCAGTTTGCTTACTGTTATAAATCCACCATAAGGTTCTAAGTTTAAATTCCCCTCTGGACAAATATCAGTAAATATAAAAGTAATTCAGCCAATCTTTCATAAAAAAACTAGAAATTAAATTTGTGTTTTTTATTTATTTTTCTTATTTATTCTATTTTATTTAGATTTTTTATTGTCATTTTTCTTTTTTATTTTATTTAAATAAAAAAAATCTTTAGAATCTGAACAGTAAATCAGCTCAGCTAAACAAGCTGAAAATACCTTTTATAAACTAAAAAAAGTTGTGATTTCTTTCTTACCTACTCAACAATTAGCTAAACATGAACTATTTTAATTAAACACATAAAGTAATCAGATTTTTTTGAAGTTTTTCCTTGCTAAATGGAAATCATCCAGTTTGCTTTTTATTGATATAAAAATATTTAATCTATTCTCAGCAATAAAAACAGGATCTGGGTCAGTTTTAATACAGAAACTAAAATCAGATTTGGAATACTTTAGAGTATAAGTCAGTGATTAGATGGAACAGGTTACCTCATTTCAGTGAGCAGATTCTAATTTAAAAGTCATAGTTTTGTCCTAATTTGTTAAATTTATTATTTTATTGTGGTCGTGGAGCTGCTCTAAGCGTAGCCTGGTCTTTGTGTCGTTGGTCAGACTGGAGGTCAGTTTGTGTGCAGCTGAATGCCGTTGACCTCTGGCTTCACACTGGTACCTTGGGGAAGCTGTTGCTGCGCTCCCCCTCCTCCTGCAGCAGCTCTCTGTAGGTGTCCAGGTAGCGGAAGGCCATGTTCAGCACTGCCTGCTTCCTCTCAGCGGCGCTCATGGACGCCTCAGCCTCGCCGTCCCTCCGCTCGCCGCCCCCCACCTGTGCCTCCAGGGAGAATCTGCAGGAGCGTTTGGGTTAAGGAGGAACCAGGCTGGATGTGAAACACGTGTTTCTGCGGCGCGTGGAAACCTACATGCATCTTCTGTGTTACAGCAGGAGGAGCATCGTTTTCAGCTCAGAGAGACGCCGCCATGATGACCCACATTACACCACACACATACACACACACATCCTCATCCAGCTGTCTCACCAACACACACTCTGCTTGTTTCATCCCCTCTGCCTGGCTGATGAGACATGCTTTTTCTGCTCTTTGTTTGTCCAACGCTGAGAATTTTAGCTATATTTCCCATGAAGCTTTGCTCTCCTTCGCCATCCGCTCCTTGTTCTTCTGATTTTTAATCAGGTCTATGATTATTTAATCCTGCATGGAGGACAGATGTGCACATCCTGAGCGGAAAAGTCCCTGAATCTCTGTAATACAACAAAGGCAGATTTATTTCTGTCCGTTTCTTTCACTCTTCTGCTTCCGCCCACATCCCTCTCTTCCTCTCCATCTCCCTGTGGGGGAGGATTCACGTGGATGGATGTAAAAAACTGGCAGTTTACATATCAGCCGTCATGAACTGAACTAATCAGAACACAACAGAAGAAAACGGCTTCATGTCCCGCGGAGGTTTCTAGTTCAGCCGGTTTCAGAAAACAGTTTGCGGATGATGCAGTCATGTTAAACTCAGATGATTCTGCAAAAACTTTCAGGAAAATGGGAAACAGTTTGCGTGACTCAGATTGTAACGTTGTTTGCAGATGACGCACTCAAATTAAGTTTGAATGGTTATGCAATAATTTGCAGGAGTGTGTGAAACAGTTGGCATCAGATTGTAAAGCTGTTTGCTTATGATGCAGTCATGTTAAGCTTAGAAAGTCCTGAAATAATTGGTAGTAGAATGGGAAACAGTTGGAATGACTCAGATTGTAAATTTATTTGCAGATGATGCGGTTGTCTTAAGCTTAGAAACAATTCTCCTGCAACAACTTGCAGCAGAATATGAAGTAGCCAACACCATTCAGATTGTAAAGCTGTTTGCAGATGACACACTCAAGTTTGAATGGTTATGCAATAATTTGCAGAAGTTTGTCAAACAGTTGGCATCAGATTTTAAGACTGTTTGCACATGACACAGTCAAGTTGAGCTAGGATGGCTCTTCAATAATTTCCACAAGAGAGAGACGCAGTTAGCATAATTCAGATTGTAAAGCTGTTTGATGTTTGCAGAAGATGCAGTCATGTTAAGTTTAGAACGTTCCGCAATTATTTTCACAAAAATGTGGAAAAGTAAACACAATTCAAGTTGTAAAGTTGTATGCAGATGATGCACTTAACTTTGAACGGTTATGCAAAAAATTTGCAGCTGGCATCTGATTGTAAAGCTTTATGCAGATGATGCAGTCGTGTAAATCTTACACAGTTCTACAAAAACTTGCAGGAGAATATTAAATAGACTACATAGTTGAGGTTGTAAAGTTGTTTGCAGATGACGCACTTAAGTTTGAATGGTTATGCAATAATTTGCAGGAGTTTCTGAAACAGTTGGCATCAGATTGTAAAGCTTTTTGCAGATCTTAGAAAGTTCTACAAAAACTTGGAGGCGAATATTAAAACGTCTATTAAAACGTTGTAAAGTTGTTTGCAGATGATGCAGTCGAGTTAATCTTCGATGGTTCTGCATTAATTTGCATGAGAATGTGAAACAGTTGGCATGATTCAGATCGTAAAGTTGTTTGCAGATGATGCAATCGAGTTTGACTTTTAGATTGAGTCATTTGTCGCTGAAGGTGAAACAGTTAGGATTATAATGAGAACCTTCTGCTCTGAGCCGGTGGAACCACCTGGAAAATGGATTTCCACCTGCAGGTTTGGAAATTCAGGGTCTGGGGGAATTAAAAGTGGATCTACCAGTCAGTACCTCCCCATTCCTCGCCTCAGTCATTAGTTAGGCGTAGGAACCAAAAGAATGTGATCATGAATACAAACAGCTGAATAACCTCCCTGCAGGCTGGGCTCACCCTCAGGAGAGGAAAGGTTTCAACATTCTGAACATAGTGATGCTCATCAAAGGTGCAACTTTACATCAGTCACACTGTGTTTCTGAGTTCCACACAAACAGTGTTCACGTGACACAGGAGGGTGAGACGTGTTACAAACCCTCCGAAGCATGAAGACTGTACCCAACACCGGCATCTTTCCCTCACTTTACTTCTCTACTTAATTTATTGTTCTATTATTCTGTTCATGAGATTGTTTTAAATGATGTCGAAGGGAGTTTGTGGTGTACAAATGTTGGTTTTGTTTTTCTGAGCATATGACAATTTTTTTTTTCTAAAACACTGAATTTAATGGATCAGTTGTAAAAGCATGATGTTTCCTATCCTTTCTTTGAAACAAGGAGAGAAGCTCTGAGTTTTAACAGGAACAGGAACCAGTTGAGGTGGTTTGGGAATCTGTTGGAGACGCTTTCTTTTTTCCATCGTCTCCAAACAAAATGAGGCTCTCAGTTTACATTCAGGACACAGTTTGTCTCCGTTCTACCAAGAACCGAGAAGTTAAAGAGTTAAGACGCATTCACACCAGCCATTTTTAGTCCGCTTTAATCCAGCTCCAGTCCAATTGCCAGGAAAGTCCGGTTCCTTTGGGGAGGTGAGAATTCGTAATCGAATTCTGATGCGGACTGAAAGAACCAACCCTGGTTCGCCTATAGACCTCGGTCTGGATTCGGTTGAAGTGAACTCTGGTGTGGTTCGAATGCATATGTGAACGCCAAGTGTGCCAAAAGCAGGAAGTGGACTACATCACAAGGCATCCTGGCAGGCTAATGCTAGCAGGAGAAATGACTTGTCTTTTACCAACAACAAATCTGAATCTACTCTATTTTTGTTTACATTTAGCGAAGAAGGAATTTGCGGCCAGTGTCTTCTTTAGAGGCCTTCATGTTGTTTCCTTCACTGGGTATTGGTGCACAAGAACCACAGCATCTGGAATTGTAGCAAATGTTGCAGTTCTGGTTCCCAATCAGACCGATTGTACCGTGCGAAACATTTTTAAAAAACGATTCTGTTGCTGGTTTCTGTTGTGGAAGTGTTTTTCTCCTGAACCTGAACGTGGTGAAATGTTCCTTTTCCTCTCCTCTGGAACACAAACAGAAAGAAGGTGGGGCAAAAAAAAAGAAAAAAAAAAGGAACTCGGTAACAAACATGAGGAAGAGTCAGCAGGCTGCAGGCAAAGAGGAGGGAAAAACACGAATCGCAGCTACACAACGGGAACAAAGCCGCCGTTAATACCCTGGAATCAAACCTGCGAAGCTCGTCCCTCATTCCTATCGCATTAAACACAGCGGCGCATGCACGTCGCATCGCAGCGCCGTGAGCGCATTCAGTCAGGCCCAGGACAAGGATACTGCTGCAGCAGGACTTGCTGGAGCCTGTCGGCCGTCAGGAAGATGGGATGTGTCAACATGAAGTCATCCAGCAGGGTTTCTGCATACAGACACACACAGAGGTTAGATGTTACACGCTGCACCTGAACGCAGCACAGACATTTCAAAACGGAGCCAGAGGACTCCACCTCTGATCTGCAGCAGGTTCATTAAAGCAGATGAGCCAGGTGGAGGCTGAGGGATGCCTTCACATCCTCCAGCCTCAGAGCTTCTGGTTTTCTACATGCAGAGTGAGTCCTGACAGGACACAGCGTCTCTGCGCCTCGGAGGAGGATGCAGAGACGAGGCCGCCTCTGATTATACGTTAGGCCGTGACACGCAGCGAGCCGAGAGGCGGCGGCGAGGAGCTGCTGCAGCCGACGGCTGTAATTTAAGATGCTGAAGCAGCACGACGCGCCTCAAACCTGTGGTCACATTTACTAAAATACACTGCTGCTCTGCGTGTGTGTGTGTGTGTGTGAGAGAGAGCCATGCTGCAGTGGGTGTGTCCAGTCCAAGCCCGCCTCTCTGCAGGCGGTTACCATGGAGACAACACGTCGCTGACAGCGAGAGGATGGAGAGAGAAATGTGCGAGAAGAAGAAGAAACTGATAAAAAAAAAGGAGAGAAATCAGAGTGTGAGCTGCAAGAAACCGGATCAGAACCGATCAGTTAAAACATTTAAACTAAACATGGACTTAATCTGTAAGGAGACAAAAATCAGAGCTGCAACTACTGATTATTCTGATGACTAATCAATTCATCGGATAAAATAAATGTCACATTCTGCAGATTTTTCACTTAATCTCTTAAAAGATGCAAATGAACAAATTTCATTCCTATCTTAAATTAGAAAATAAACATTTTCTTACCTTAAATATAGAAAATGAGGCAACTGCAGCTAAAAAACTCTTCTATGAACATGTGAAAACTCAATCCTTATTTCAATAATCGATTAATCATGATTAATCATTATTAACTGCTTCAGCCCTACTTTAAATATAATTTTTCTGTGGCTCTATTTAAATGTTATTTTGTAGCAGTGAAGGTTTGAGCTGTTCAAACCCTTCCCAGATTGATGAGCAGGAATAATTGATTCTCTAAAGTCATTATTCAGTTACTAAATTAATTAACAATTATTTCAATAATCAATTAATCATGATTAATCCAATTAATTGTTTCAGCCCTACTTTAAATATTTCACCTTTTTCTTCTTGAAAAGACGCACAGAAATGCAGAAATAATCTGCCCAGCGCAAAATAATCCAAAAACCAGAAACAAACCCATCTGGGCACCAACTAGAGTCCAGATTGGTACCAAACCCGTTTAAATTTCCACCTCAGAACCCAAAACAGTTTCAACAAAACAGTTAATTCAGAACAGGGAGTCCTACATGTCGTCATATCTGGACCCAGAACCCGTCCAGGTGACCAGTAGATCAGTTTGGGTCCACAGTGATCAACAGTGATCCAACTGGATCCCAGTTTTCCTGCTGAGTTCTGCAGAACATTTGACTGATTTTCATCCCTAAAGGCTGAAATTTCAGCAGAGATGGGAATGCTTTATAAGTGGCTTTAAAGCCGGAGACGAAGCGAACGGATAAAGTTCTGCTTGGCTGGCAGAGAGAAAGGTCCATTCACAATGTGAAGCCGAGCAGAAACTAAAATCTGGGACCCGAGCGGAGGACGACACAGCGGAGCTGCATTCACAGCTACTCAGAAAAACAGAAATATCCACTAGGACGTCTAAAAAAACCTAAATATAGCATAAAAAAGAAACAGCCATTTTGTAAAGGTTCATTAGACACCGTAAAATATTTCAATTTTTTATTTTTTTGCAGTTTATTATGACTTACAGGCTGAAACGATTAATCAAATTAAATATGATTAATCAATTACTGAAATAGTCATCAATTAATTTAGTTGATGATTATTGGATAAAATAATTATTAACTGGGATGTAAAAATTCTAAAGAATGCCATTTATTTCAAAAACAACATATTCTGAGCAATAATTAAGCCAAAGCTGTATAATTTATATACAGATTTTGGGTTTAAACTCAGTTGTCTGTAAATATGTTTTAGCCAAAACTCCTCAGTTTTACTTTCATTCACTTCAGATTTATTTCACTTCTGCTCAGACAAACTGAGCTTTAGTTCATCTGGACGTCTAAACCGTCACATTTATTTCACATTATTGTGAAAAGAAGAATCAAACTGTTTGAGGAGAGCTTCGTGTTTCTTTAGAAGCAGGAAGCCGGACAGCAGATGGACGTAAAAAGGTTTTAAAGTCGCTCTGACCTCAGGTCGCATTCTGAACACACGACTGAATCCGGCTCCACTTTAAATGTTTTCCTCCATGAGGAGAATAAAATACTTTGCAAATAAAATCTATGATATTTTCATACCAGATGCAGGTTACAATTTTAATCAATTTGCTGGAAACTAAAAAATGGCTTTTATTTTATGAGAATGTTTGTCTAAATATGAGAAAATAGTCGTAATATTAGCAGAATAAAGACACAATATATTAAAATTAAGAGAAAAAACTGTTTTTATCAGGATCTGACATGATCAGCTCAGTTCATCAGCTGTTTGAACGATAGTTTCAAAGTTCTGCTTCTGGTAATAATTTAATGCTGATGTGTTAGAAGATGAGGTAAAACTTAAACCAAAGTACAATTTTTATTTCTCATGTTGTAGCTCTCATAAAAATACAACTTTATTCTTGTAATTAAAATAAAAACCTTATCCTGGTGCTAATACTCAGATTATTCAGATTTGACCTGAATTCTACTGCAAATATGCTTTTCAAACAAGATGGCGGCCTTGGCGCAGATTTCACTCTGAACTATGAAAACCTGAGGGAAAAATCTGTATTTTCCAAAAATTTAATCTTCAAAAACCAAAAGCTCGATTAATCGATCAAATCCAAACCGCCCAGCCCGACCAGGAAGTGGATCTGGGTTGATTTGACCTGTTAATTCATCCTGGATGCGTCTTGCTCAGGATGTGGAGAAGTTTCCCAGCTGAAGCTTTAATTTCAGCGTTTTTCCTCCCACCTCCTCGGCTCGGTTTCTCTTTCCGCCTCTCACTCCTCCTTCCCTCCCAGCGTCTCGCAGAGAGCCGGTTGCTATGTGAACAGGTGCTAAAAGAGCCTCTTGTGCTTCTGCGCGTCCAAACGGAGCGCAAGCGGGACAAACGTGCAGCTCGGAGGGTCGACGAAGGCGATGAAGAGGAGGAGGAGGAGTGAAGGTAAACGCATCCAGAGAGGTAAACGAGTGGGATCGTTTCTCTGAAGACAACCTTCCTCCCACACACGGATTCACTCGCTTCTGCTCCGGAGCCACCCGGCCGTCATTCTGCCACCGACTGGAGCAGAAACATAAAGTCCTACAAGGATTTCGGGTCCAGTTTCTGCTGCAAATATCTCAGAACATTTGAAATAAGACAAAACTAACAATTAACTTGTAAGTGAGCAGAAACCAAAACCGGAAACAGATTAACGGCTGCAGGACAGAGACGAGTCCAGCCTTCGGTTCAAACACCAAACCAAAAACTTCTCCTTCCACATTAAATCCACGAAAAGATTTTATGTGAGGCAGGAGCTGCGTTCGCCGCATCAGGGCCATTCTAGACACAAAAACAAAACAGGAGGAGTCCATATCCGCCAAAAAACTAAGAAATTTTGTGATTTATCTCAGAAGTTTTACAGTAAAAAAAAAATACATTTTCAGTTTCAAAATATGAACATTTTTTAGACAAAAACTCAGCAATTTTGAGGTTAATCTCAAATTTTTTTGTGGAAAAATATGAAATTTTTGAATTTCAACAGTCAAAATGTTTTGAGTTTTAAAAGTTGAAAGTTCAAAGTATTATCAAGAAAATTTCTAAGATTAATTTAAAAATTTCTGAGATTTCTCTCGCAAATTTTTGACTTTTGAAGTTCAGCAAAACATAGAAGTTTGATTTAAGATTATTTATTTTATAACAAGACATTTCTCTCATGTTGTAAGTGAAATAATCTGCTAGTGGAACTAGTATTTTTTTTTCTTTTTCAGAAAAAGAAGCTCCAATATTTTGATGAAAAGTTACTTGTAAGTAAGTTTTCAAGTGTAATATACTGGAAAGTATAAAAACATTTGGTAATATTTGTTTTTTTCTGCTGTGTACAAGCAGCTGAACTCAGAGGAAGTGTGTGACAAACACACACTTCTTGTTTTATGCCTGAGAACTTAAAACTAAAATAAAATCAAACAGTTTAGGATTAAAATAGGGATGAAATCCAGTTAAAAGCAGGATAATTCTGGGATAAAAAGCAAGTTGGTTGTGACTTCCTGTGGACGGACGGTTTGGGTCGGGTTCTGACGTGTCGCTGTCTGAGCCTAAAAGTTTCAATCTGTTGTTTCTTTTTTTTCTCCAGGACAATAAAACGACTGAAACGTCTAATTAGAGCCTCAGAAAGAGGCTTAATTAGAGTTTCTGGAGGCCAAAAACGCACACAGTCACACACACAGTCACACACACATGCACTCATACACAAACACACACACATGCGCATGCACACTCACACACCAAACACACACTGAGCTGTGTTTGTGTCTGTGCAGAGGATCTGAGTTTTCGCCCTCTTATGTAACATCTTTCTGCTTTTGCTTTCATTCATGGTGATTCTGCAGGTATTTTCCAGGTGAGCCACCTGTTCCCACCCTAAGCTGTGATCTGTGTGCCAGAGTCAACCAGGAAGTGATGTCACTAGGTAAGAGCGTCCCACCTGCAGCAGGATTTGTTCTGGTTCTCTTGCTATGGAAGATCAAACTGTTCCAGGACGGTCGAGGCTCAGGGAGCCAATCAGATCGCAGGGAGGGCGGGTCTTTGGAATGCACACGTACACACACACCTACACATACACACACACAGTGTGTGAGGCGAAGCAGAACCTTGAACCTGGATTATCAAAACAAATGTAAAAACTCTGGTTCCCTCCAGAAACAAACGGCCAGCTCTGATTGGCCGGCGGTTCAAACATCACACTCCTCCTCTTCATCGGCTCTGGCCCCGCCCCCAGCAGGTAAAACCTGCCAGGTGAGGAGCCTCCATGGCGAAGAACCTGCTCTTCAAACCGTCCAAATGTTGGCTAACCCAGAGAAACAGCCCATCAGAACCGAGCAGAATCCCAGAACCTTCCGGGTCGGAAACCAAAACCGGACAGAAAAACGTCTGCAGGACAGAGACACGTCCGTCCTTCAGCGGAGACAACAGGACAAAAACGTTTCTCCATATATCCACAAGAAGGTTTATGAGAGGCAAAACTTTGTCTGTATTCTGAGTTTTAGGGCCACAATAAATAGAAAAACAAAAACGGAGCAGTAAATTTACACAAAATAAATTCCGAGATTAATTTAAAAATTTAATAGTTTTTAGAGAAAGAAACACAAACAGAAGAAAACAGCAGCTTGTTATGAAAAATATACCTAAAAAATCTTAATTTATAATTCATAACAATTATCTTAATGTTTAATGTATATTAATTTTATCTTTATTAGCTTAAAAATATTCCATGGTAATAATTTATTAATATACAGATTTAAAATAAATATATATTTTTTTTGTATTAGAACCAGAATATTACATAAACAAAATATTCAAACATTAAAATCTTTGTCTCTAAAACCATTGTTGTAATATTTATAATACTTTAATAACATAAACTATATCCGGTATCACTTTTATATATTTATATTGATTTTGTAATATTTTTATACTAAATATTTTCATAAATTACTCAGATTCTTCTTCAAAATGCCGATATTAACAATACTAATGAAATCATTTTCTATTTACTTTATTTTTGTATATTTGAAGGTTTTTAAATGCTTTGAAATGTTATTTTTTAAATCAGATTGACTGCTTTCAGTCTGACTTCAGTTCTGTGTTGAGTCGCTGTGTCTCATCCTGTTCTGGACCGGATCGTCGGATCGTCAGATCGTCAGATCGTCAGATCGTCAGATCGTCGGATCATCTGATCGCCAGATTGCCTGATCGTCGGATCGCCGGATCGTCGGATCGCCGGATCGTCAGATCGCCGGATCGCCGGATCGTCGGATCGTCAGATCGTCGCGCTCGCAGTTGGGAACAGAACTTGTCACAGTTCTGCAGCTTCCAGAGACAAACTGTGAAGCTGTGATGAAACCGGTGAACAGAACCCGTTGCATAAGAACCAGAAGAACAAACCAGCGGGCGGATCAGAAAGAGTCCTTTGTGAGAGTTTGTTGAGGCGACAAGAAGCTTCCTAATTATTAATGAGACTGAAATCACCTGCTGGTGGTGAGAAAACTTGGAGCCAAACACAAACCACACATTAAGATAACTCTGTATTAAATATTTATAAGATATTTTAATTATTACTGGGAGTCTTTAATTAAAGACAAATAATTTAGGTTAGAAAATTGAAGATTAATTACTAAGAAATAAACCTTCACAACAATATTTAAATCAGTCAAATTTTATTTGTATAGCACATTTCAGCAGCAAGGCATTTCAAAGTGCTTCACATAATTAAAATAAAAACAGCATGTGACATTGAAAAGTAAAACAAGCATTCAGAGCAATATTTAAATCTAAATAAATAGGTTTATGATTAGAAGTTTTGAAATTGTTTTAGATATCTGTATTTTATTTTAAATGTAATGTTTACCTTATTTTATTTTTTTATTATTATTATATATTTTCAAGAACATAGATCTTTGTGAAACATCAGCTCAGCCAAACAAAATGGAGGATTTTGGAATTATTGTTATTTATATAATTATATATGTAAATGTATTTTAATTTACTAAAATTTGAGGAATTTTGTGGCATTTTAATATTTTCTTTTTTTCTCCTTTTTAACATTTGCTGCGTTTGTGTTTGTGTAAAAAATAAACTTAAACAAACAGAAAGACAACAGGAGAGGAGAGAGACTCAGAGGCTGGAGCCAGGAAGAAGGAGTAGGAAGAGGAGGAGGAAGATGAAGAGGACCAGGAGGAAGACGAAGAGGAGCAGGAGAAGAAAGAGGAGCAGGAGCAGCAGGAGCAGCAGGAGCAGCAGGAGCAGCAGGAGCAGCAGGAGCAGCCAGCTGTAACAACCAGGCTGAACAGCTTCTCATTATGTAACCTGTAAAGCTTCCAGCTGAGGCTGCAGGAAAATCCTTCTGCACGCCTCCAACTGGACCAGAACCAGAACCTGGACCAGAACCTTCACAGTCACTTTCTGTTCCGCGGCCAGACCTTCTGGTCCATCCATCCATCCATCCATCCATCCATCCATCCATCCATCCATCCATCCATCCATCCATCCATCCATCCATCCATCCATCCATCCATCCATCCATCCTCAGGTCTTACCTGAACAGTGTCCGAACCGTTTTCCCGCCACCCCGTCCAGAACCGCTAACGTCAGGTTATCTGGAGTGTCGGGATGAAGAGGCGTCCCTCCTCCTCCTCCTGGACCAGAACCAGAACCAGAACCAGAACCAGAACCTCCTCCTCCGCTGCTCTCTGTGATCAGACTCGCCTCGGAGCTCTGCTCATCACTGGACAGAGACGGACTGCGGACGTCTCCTCCTCCAGAACCAGAACCGGATCCAGACCCAGATCCAGATCCAGATCCAGAACCAGAACCGGAGTAGGAGCCGTTGGCGCTGCACGGAACTGAGGCCAGCCCAGTTCCTGCAGCGGAGGGCCAGGAGGGGGGGTCCTCGCTGTCAGGGCTGCAGGGATCAAAGGTCAATATTTAGACTCAATCCATCTGAAGGAAGGAGGAGCAAGTTTGGTCCGATCTCTGACAGGATGTGACATCACTGCTCATAACGCATCATTTCCCCTCCCTCTGTGCCGTGCCACAGCAGCGCCATGATATAGTGGGCGCCACATTAAGGGGGCGCCATGCTATTCTGGGCGCCATGTTATAGTGGGCGCCATGTTATAGGGGTCACCATGTTATAGGGGGCGCCATACAATAGTGGGCGCCATACAATAGTGGGCGCCATGCTACACTGGGCGCCATGCTATAGTGGGCCCCATGTTATAGTGGGCGCCATACTATAGTGGGCGCCATGCTACACTGGGCGCCATGCTATAGTGGGCCCCATGTTATAGTGGGCGCCATACTATAGTGGGTGCCATGCTACACTGGGCGCCATGCTATAGTGGGTGCCATACTGTAGTGGGCGCCATGTTATAGTGGGCGCCATACTATAGTGGGGGGCCCTGCTCCATTCTGGGGGTGTTTTTTTTTTTGTGCGGCACAAACAC